CTGGGGAGACCTAGACGTAGATGGGAGGATAATCTCAGGCGGGATCTGTGGGAGATAGGGGTTGAAGGAGACTGGATTTTGTTGGAACAGGACAAGGTCCGGTGGAGGGCTTTGGTTATTTCGGTGATGAACCTTCGGGTTCCGTAAGCCATCTGGTTGGTTGGGTCCACTATTTGGGAAGCCTGAGGGGAAGAGACCTCTGGGGAGACCTAGACGTAGATGGGAGGATAATCTGAGGCGGGATCTATGGGAGATAGGAGTTGAAGGAGACTGGATTTTGTTGGCTCATGACAGGGTCCGGTGGAGGGCTTTGGTTAATTCGGTGATGAACCTTCGGGTTCGGTAAGCCATCTGGTTGGTTGGGTCCACTATTTGGGAAGCCTGAGGGGAAGAGACCTCTGGGGAGACCTAGACGTAGATGGGAGGATAATCTGAGGCGGGATCTATGGGAGATAGGAGTTGAAGGAGACTGGATTTTGTTGGCCCAGGACAGGGTCCGGTGGAGGGCTTTGGTTAATTCGGTGATGAACCTTCGGGTTCGGTAAGCCATCTAGTTAGTTAGTTAGTTAGTTAATAAATTAATACAGAAAATCAATGGCAGGAAGCCGACAATCAGAAATTATTATGAGATGTGAAGCTCTGGAGAGCAATATAGTATGGACTTGTATTCAAACCTTAAGACAAAGGCAGTATGTTCCTCTAAAACATTGCTATCAACACACAAGTCCAGAAGACATTCCTACCCGGACGAACATCAAAATCAAAAAGTAAATATGTTGTATGTTATTTATTTTGGTAAAACTATATAACATCAAACAACTTTTGAGTGTGTGTGTGGTGGGGGCGAACACTACGACATGCAAACAAGGTGTTCCCAGGTGCACGCAAAAAAACCTTCAGAACACTAATACAGCTAATAAGTGACTGGTATGGTAATTTTAATTAGCAATAATTTATCGCTGGGTCATAATCGTCCCAGAAGTGACATTCGTAGCTTTAAATGTTTCAGAACACTTTATAACAGAATATGAAATGAAATTTTGAGGAATCTTTTTTTTTAAAATGTCTAACAGAGGACTGCTATTTTTACGACATATCCACATCAATAAAATGAGTGTTGGTTTACAGGACAGCTATAATTAAGTTAGGTTAGGTTGGATTAGATTGTTAGCAGGCACTGCAAGGACACTGCGTCCTTGATTTCGTTTTAATAAACTTATATAATATTACCAGCAGTCTTCTTAGATTCTGATTATCCTCTAAATTTTTAACAACAGGAATGGTTGTAACGAATCAGTCTCCATAAATCTTAAAAAAAAAAACATTACCCGCCATATTGCCATATTGCAATTTCGAGTCGCCCGTGTCGTGAGACATTTTATTCAAAAACGAAACCTAATATCCCTACAATCGGATCACCAAACTTTATATATATATATATATATATAAAAGAGTAACAGTCCACTTTCAGCAATGTTCATGATTATTATAAGTATTTGCATTCACTTAAAGTTGGTATTATGAGCGTATTAAGAACGTGATATGTAATGTGAGTATCCTGTCAGGTAAATTTCGTTTTGTCAGAAATACACAAAAGTTAAATTCTCTAAAGGCATTAAGTATCGTAAATAAATAGACCCCACTCCCGACGTCATTTATAAATAATGACCTGACGCACGGTTCTAAAAAACAGAATTACCAGGAGATTTATGTTGGAGCTAATTTTTACTACAAACTGTCTTGTCACACACGTCGGAAATGGTGTCACGCCCTCCCCATCCCACAATAAGTTTATGTTTTAATGAGGTTAATATACGCTCAAACAAGAGAAGAAGTTTGTACAAAACAATAAAAAACAAATCGTCGTAAGGAACAGGCTGTTTCTCGTGGAGCTGAGCCAGCAATAATACTTAAGCCACTAGTTTATAAACTAGTTACAAATTGTGAATTCGTTCTCTTTATTTTCAGGTTTATAGTCTCACATTTTCTTCAAAGACCACAGGAAATCACTGAGGATTATCGTGGTAGTTGTCATGGATTGGTCGACTTTCATGTGAGGCACGCGCTACACATTCGTTCACAAGCTGTAACCAATCAGCTGCTTGTGACCGATTCCGAGTACCGCGTTGAAATTCCTTTCTGCAGACATGCACGATCTTGGCAATGGAAACTGTCACTTCTGCCCTGAAATAATCCAGTAATTACCCTGTCTGTTTCCATGGGCCGGAAATGCGAGGGGACCGAATAGCTCACATTCTGCTGGGTTTTTTTTCTTACATTCCCTAGAAATAGCTGGCGTCTGTAGTCTGCGCCCCACGTGTCTCGTAACACGTGTGACAGCTTCAACGAACACTCCGGAATGACCACGTTACCTGCTGGTTCTACCACTGAGATTTTATATATTTATTCAGTGTTCTGTCTGACGACAGGTCCATATGAACAGGATCCTTCCATCCTTTTCTCGGACTGGGACCTGTTCATATACGTTCTTGGCAGATGATCCAGAAGTGGTTTGCCATTGCCTTCTTCTGTGTGTGAATGGGATGCCACGGAGGAAAACTCCGTGTTGCCTAGACCACGGCCTTGCCCAACACAAGTTATAAATTCGGGCACCGCCGGGAATCGAACCCGAGACCCCAGGATTACAAGGCCAGCGTTCTAACCGCTAGACCACCGTGATGTACCACTGAGATAAACATAACAAATACACATCTATTTCATAGCTATCTGATAGGTTAGTAACACGCATTGCAAGAAAGAACAGTTTCGAATAGATTCATAACAAACTTTTACTTTTCTCTAATAATTTAACGTTTTCTAAAATGCGTCATTCCACTGTGTTCGTCCCAGTATATTATTTATTAATTTTTATCCACCATTATCCTGTGAGAGAAAGATCTAATTGAACTCATCTGCGAAAGAATGTTTACATTTTTTTTTGTATTTAAATTAATACATAACCGCAGTATAATACCGACCCTCACAAACAATGACAATCACTCAGGATTTGAAGTTCTCACGGCAGCGAGTACGAAGATGGTTGTCACAAAA